TGGTCTTGGAGCAAAGCCTCAAGATGCGGTAGATTGGATTTGCTCGCATAGATTACCGTGTCATCTGCGTACATGTGTACATTTGAGGATTGGCAGACATTAGGCAGATCATTTATAAATAATGTAAATAGTAGGGGGCCGAGAATGGAACCCTGGGGAACACCACACGTGACTGGGAGAGGGAGGGAGTCACTGTCAGAAATGGACACATATTGCGAGCGATCCGATACATACGATCGAAACCAGTTTAAAGAATGATCACCGATACCTGAGTTTTCGAGTTTGTGCAGTAGAATGTCGTGGTCTACTGTGTCAAAGGCCTTAGCAAAATCAAGGAAAATAGCTCCAGTTAGGGCTCCTTGTTCCATGCCAGTTTGGATGTCATTGCAAACTTTTAGGAGGGCAGTTGTAGTGGAGTGATTCTGGCAAAAGCCCAATTGATCAGGGGTCAGATAGTTTAAATGTTGGTAGTACTCACAAAGTTGCGTATGGACACATGCGTAGCTTACTCCCTAAAGTGAATGCACTGCAAGCCTGGTGTTCCCATTACAAACTAAAAATCATTGTGCTCTCTGAATCATGTTTAACGACTAAAATACCAGACATGCCATTGCAATACAGGGCTATTCATGCTTTAGAAATGACAGAGAAAAGAGAGGAGGAGGCATTGTTATTTATGTTGACAATTCCATAAAGTTTACTCCCTTACAAAACTTTGGCCCTTCTGCCACCTTTGATTTCCTTCTTGGCACAATTGAGATCCCGTGCAGTAAATCAATCATTGGTGCAGGAATCTACCGCCCACCTAGCTTCCCAGTGCATTCCCTATCTGGCATAGCCCTTTTCCTTAGTGAAACCATAGCTCAAAACCCAAAAAGTGAACTGTTGGTCTTTGGAGATTTTAATATTGATTGGCTGAATCCTAAAAATAATAGTTCTTGCACGCTGTTTAAAACATTGCAGCTAACACAATTAATCTCCTCCCCAACTCGCATAAACATTAAAAGCCATAGCCATACCCTGCTTGATTGGATTCTCTCCACTTCTCCTGATAGAATCCAGGAGGCCGGTGTTCTCCCTAACAGTTTCAGTGATCACTGTTTAGTGTATTGCGTGCGCAAAATAAAGACTATTAAATTATCTCTCAAGATTAAAATCACCAGGTCCTTAAAAAAAAAAATCAATCTTGAATCCTTTCTTAATGACATCAGGAACCTACCATGGCACATATTAAACATTATCCCATATCTAGACTGTGCTGTTGAATTCTTTCAGTCTGAACTCCTAGAAATTTGGGATTTGCATGCCCCGCTGTGTAAGGTGAGAGTAAAAGGAGCACACATGAACTGGATCACAGCTGAACTCATCCAAATGTACAAGTATCTGGATTCTTTGTGGTCCAAGTTCAAGCGCACTGGCTTTATGAATTATCACTGTGCATATAGACTGGCAAAATATATGCACAAAACAAACAAAATTGGCCAAGGCCCAATATTTCTGTGAAAATTTGAACAATAACCTATCAAACCCTATAAACTTTTGGAAAGTCATAAATAAATTACAAACTCCCCCAATCCACTCCCAACCCTCCACTGTCATAGTGGATAACCAAACCTTGCAACTTCCCTTAGATGTAGCAAATGCCTTTAACAATTATTTTGTCAGATGCTCCACTGCCTTGATTGCCAAGCTAATAAATGACACACATCCTGAAAACTACAAATGTGGATCAGGCCCAACTAAATTTGCAAAGACCCAATATAGCCAAGTTTAATTTTAGACCTGTACCTATTAGTGTCGTTCAAAAACACCTAAATAATCAAAAAATGAAAAACTAGTCTGGAACTGATCAAGCTCAGTGTGCCGGCAATTGCTAAACCCGTCGCAACCCTCATTAACAAATCCTTGGTATAATATAAACACAAGGCTGGAAAGATAAAGATACATATCCAAACTTTGGAAGACTGCAAGAGTAGTGCCTATCCATAAAAGTGGTGACACTACTTTGGTTTCTAACTATCGCCCAATATCATTGCTCCCGGTATTGTCAAAAATCTTAGAAAAATGTGTCCATACGCAACTATGTGATTATTACCAATAATCAAATTATCTGACCCCTTATCAATCAGGCCTTTGCCAGAATCACTGCACTATAACTGCCCTCTTAAAAGTTTGCAATGAAATCCAAACTGGCATGGGACAAGGAAACCTAACTGGCACTATTTTCCTTGATTTTGCCAAGGCCTTTGACACGGTAGACCACGACATCTTACTGCACAAACTCAAAAACTCAGGTATTGGTGATTGTTCGCTAACCTGATTTCGATCATATGTATTGGATCACTCGCAATATGTGTCCATTTCTGACAGCGACTCCCACCCTCTCCCAGTCAGTGTGGTGTTCGCCAAGGTTCCATTCTCGGCCCCCTACTATTTACATTATTTATAAATGATCTGCCTAATGTCTGCAAATCCTCAAATGTACACATGTATGCAGACGACACAGTGTCTATGTGAGCAAATCCGAGCTACCGCAGCTTGAGGCTGTGCTCCAAGACCAGTTTACAGAGGTAGAAAAGTGCATCACAAAAAACAAACTCTTCCTAAACACTGTCAAAACTGTCACAATGATCTTTGAAACAGTACCTAAATTACACAATTTACACAATTTCCACCTATCAAAACAAATATCAAAACATCAAAACAAATTCAAATGGCACACTGACCGCATATCTTTTGGCCTCCACATAGAACAACTTGCATCTAAACTTTATCCAAAACTAGGTGCCCTGTACAGAAACAAATCTTGCCTAATCCCTACAGTAAAGGAAAAGATTGTACAGCAAATGTTGATGCCAATCATTGATTATGGGGATGTGGTATATGCATCTGCACCGCAATCCCACATTAATAAACTCAGTACATTGTATAACTTGTTCTGCCGATTTGTGCTACAATGCAATTACAGGACCCACCATTGTGACATGCTAAAAGAACTAAACTGGCTTTTGCTGGAATCCAGACACACCCTTTATCTTTCCAGCCTTGTGTTTAAGAGCTTTTCTGAGAAACTCCAACCCTACCTGAGCAGAATGCTCTCCTCAGCTTTTCCCGCCTCTTATAACCCCCGATCCAGTACCAGCACTTTATTTAGTCTACCTCAATACAAAAAGAAAGCGTCCCGATCCTCCTTCTCCTACAGAGCGCCACAATTGTGGAACAACCTCCTGCACACTTTAAAATCTTCCCCAAGCCTAGAGTTCTTTAAGAGATCCCTCTCTACATACCTCAAAACAGAATGCACATGTCATGGTTGATTATATATTTCCTACCTGCTCTATGTTATGTTTTGTATATATTGTGTATTGATATTATTTTTTGTATTTTATTGTACACTAATGTAACAATGCAATGTTTTGTGGACCCAGACATACTTGAAAACAAGAGAAATCTCAATGTATCTTACCTAGTAAAATATTTTATAAATAAATAAAATAAATCAATTTTGATTTAAATATATAAAAAAAAATATATAAATATGTTTAATACTATGTTAAACAAAAATCTGCACACCAGTCAAGCCATACGATTTGCTTTTCCCACAGAAATTACAAATCTGCAGTGATGTTACTACCACAAAGGATTCTGGGTAAGCATATGTAAATTAGCTTAGCAAAGAATCACACTTTTGCCTCATTCTATTTTAAACATGGATTCCTTTTAGTCTGTGTTTGCTGTATACAACAACTTGGAACACAACTTAGGAAAAGATGCAAAGCCAGTAAACCAACCATGGACAGCTGTTGTTTTGTTAATGCAACTCATCAGCATGAGGCTGGTTACTGGTTTGCTTATTAAGGCTTGGTAGTGATTGGGAAGCAAAATCCCAATAGGTTATGGGAAAAATTGTAATTGAAAACCCTTCCACCTGAATTATGTATGTATAATATATATATATATATATATATATATATATATATATATATATATATATATATATATATATATATATATATATATATATATATATATATATATATATATATATATCTCAAATACAGTGAGAACTAGAAAAGCTTCAATTTCTGGGGACATTGTGTGAAGTGTTCTTGCCTCCACCAGTAGTCTACAACTGGAGTGGGCGGAGTAACTTATCATTTATATAGCACATTTAATTGCAACGTTGTTGCACAGTTACATTAAACCATACAATTATAAAAACATTAGCAGGTGTTCAAAAGGCCCTGTCTATGACATCACTTGCTGCTGCAGCCTGGCACAGGTCAGAGTATTTTGGCGGTTGCTATCTTCAAATGGTCATATTTTAAAAACTATAAATCCTACAGCGAAGAGCTTTATATTGTGAGAATCACAAGACCCAGACCTACATTTTGCATAGTATGCATAGTATGTCTCTGAAGTATTAAAAATGAAGGCACAGTCGCAGTTTAGAAATTGCACTTCACATTTGAGCTTTGTAGAGTGAAGTTTCAATGAATGTCAATGGACGGCGTTAGTTGCAAACACATGATTATATTGTGAAAACTATCAGGACTATGGCTTAGCCGTTGACATGTTTAGTGGCAGCAGGGATAGCTGAACGTTTTGATATAAGATTTGTGTAGGTGGGCCTGAAAATAAGGGAGTGATGGCAGCTTAGAAAGCATGTCCTGATTTTGCAAGAGGTGATGGATTCCCCACCCGTTCAGCGCGCGGCGAGGGAGCTCTCTGCTGTCTGCTCTCGCCACGCGCTGATGCCGGGAGCCGGAATATGACGTCATATTCCGGCTCCCAGCTCCAACAGACAGCCCGCGCGGCGAGAGGGAGCAGAGAGCAGACAGCAGAGAGCTCCCTCGCCGCGGCTCAGCTGGAGAAAGGCGCCCGCCCCCACTGGACCTCAGGGACAAGTCCACCAGCACTCCAGGTAGGAGGCTGGGTGGACATTTTTTTTTTTTTTAAATTAAAATATAATAATTTGTGTATGTGTGTATGTGTGTGTCTGTGAGTATGTGTGAATGTGTGTGTGTCTGTGAACGTATATATATATATATATATATATATATACACACACATATACACATATACACACACACACACACACACACACACACACACACACACACTGAGTGCCGGCTCTGCTCTAAGCCTTCATGGGCTGGCGGGGAGACCAAAGATCTACCTCACCGGCCCACAGCAGCATGGAAGGAGGCAGTAGAGGACCCAGGCTGCTCTAGACAGAAGGTCCGCCAGGTTCCTCTCGCAATATCTGAGCGTTGCTGCGGCAACGCTCAGATCTCGCGAGAGTTAACTCTAGCCCCGCAGGCTAGAGTTCACTCTCCACTGGACCACCAGGGATGGCACATGGCAGCAAGGATTTACTAATCTGCCAAATCCCTCCAAACATACAGCACACACAAATACAGCACCTACACACATACAGCTCACACACACACAGTACACTAACCGCACCCTCACAAACACACACAGCACCTTTAAAAAAACACAACACCCTCACACACAGTTCAAATTTGTTTTGAACTGATCCTGATGAAAGCCACGAACGATGGCTGAAACGTCGATGATAACAGACATGTTTTAAGAATATTCAAATAAAGAAGAAATATTTTAATTTTACTACAGACCGTGAGTGCAAGCCTTATTTCCTATATATTTTCTGTAATTATTGGCTATGGCTTTTTGTGCACCCGGCATTTTTTGATACTTTAAGTGTGTGTGCAGGGTACTACTGGATGATTATATATATGTGTATATATATATATATATATATACACACACACACACACACACACACACGCGCGCGTGGCGTGTGTTTGTGCTTTAGGGTGCACACCCTAATGCAATAGGCTGCGCACGCCTATGATAGAATGTGACGGCAGATAAGAACCATTCGGCCCATCTAGTCTGCCCAATTTTCTAAATACTTTCATTAGTCCCTAGTCTTATCTTATAGTTAGGATAGCCTTATGCCTATCCCACACATGCTTAAACTCCTTTACTGTGTTAACCTCTACCATTTCAGCTGGAAGGCTATTCCATGCATCCTCTACCCTCTCAGTAAAGTAATACTTCCTGATATTATTTTTAAACCTTAGTCCCTCTAATATAAGACTATGTCCTCTTGTTGTGGTAGTTTTTCTTCTTTTAAATATATATGTGAGATAACATTAAGTGGTCTTGCTATGCAAGAACACTTAATAATAATATATATATGTGAGATAACATTAAGTGGTCTTGCTATGCAAGAACACTTAATAAAATAACATATTTATAAACTTTTTTTTTTAATTATTTTTACAGTTCATTTATTTTTAATTATTTATGTGTCATCATATATATACATAATATATAAAATATACACATGTGTAATTTTACATTAATATAATGTTTATATATATATATATATATATATATATATATATATATATATATATATATATATATATATATATATATATATATATATATATATATATATATATATATATATATATACACACACATACATACACACACACACACTTTTTTTTTTTAACTTTGTTTTAACTTTTATTTACTTTATTTTAACTTTTCCACCAGCAGGTGGTCTGTCTGTCAGTTCAGGCAGTCCCCCTGCTGGAAGTACTGTGGACACCTATGGGGGCCATGTGACTGCTCTTTTAGAGCGGTCACATGGCCCCTGGGGATTCTAAATCAGTCCAGAGAGTCTCCCCCAAAGAAGAAGACCGATCGCCGAGTGATCACCCCTCCGGACCGATCTCTTCCGGGTTTGCCGCATGTGGCACCCGGGAGAGTAAGGAAGAGAATCTGAAGCCATCTGCAGGCTTCAGATTCTCTTTCCCTTACTGAGTGCCTTGAGGGGTCGAGGCACTTTGTAATTGTTCTAAAAAAAAATAAATAAAAAAAAAGAAAACAAAAATAAGAAAAAATTAACCCCTACCCTCCCTCCCCCGTTCCCCAAAGTGGCGATCAGTAAGTACACAGTATATATATTTTTTTTAATATTCTTTGTTTTAGAACAATTACTGAGTGCCTCGGGTCCCCGGCAGTGTAGGGGGGTATTACACGATGCCTCTATATTGAGGCATTGTGTAATACCCTAAGACCGGCTGGAAGTGATCACGATCGCTTCCAGCACTCAAAATAGCCGTGGACGAACCAGGTACATCCGAGGTTCTTAAGGGCTGTTTTTTGTCGGATGTACCTGAGATTAAATAACAAAAGTAATGTGACCTCTGTGTTTCAGCAGTCCTTTGTGATTCTTATGCACTACAGTCAGGGGCGGGCTGGGCCGGGGGGCAGGGAGGCAATTGCCCCCCAGGCCGCCCTAAAATCTGTTGGGACCGGCCGCTGCAGGGCCGGCCCTTTAAATGCTGCAGCCGCCTGAGCGCTCTGTGAAGAGCCTCAGCTCCTCCCCTACCCTCCCCTGTAGCGTGGCCGAGCTGCTTGCTGGTCCGCGGTGCCCGGCCGGACAGATAGGAAGGCGCACGCTGAGTGTGCACTTCCTGTCAGTCCGGCCGGTTACAGGAAACAGAAACTCCAGTTCCGCGCGGAGTTTCTGTTT